CCACCTGTAACCCCAGCACTCAGGAGGCTGAGGCAGGAGGATCATCACAAGTTCCAGGCAGCCTGGACTGATAATGAGTTCAATGCCCCCTAAGCTACATAGCAAGACCCTGTCTCAAAAACAATTTAAAAGAACTAGAACTGCTAGAGATGCTGGCTCTTCATGACACCCTGGAGACAGAAAGGGTGCAGACCAGTCCGTTCTGCTGTGCACCTTACTTCTCAGGCCACTCCGGGTAGGCCCGCCTGCCCCTGCGGCAGCTCCACTCCCAAGTTCTCTCAAGGTCGGCCCCAGCTGGGCTCAGCCCTTTCCTGCCCCCCCCCACGGTGATAGGGATGAGGCACCGCCCATCTGCACAAGACGGGCGTTGAGTGACTGCTCTGGCTCCATACCTGCTCTCTGCAATCTCTTTTCCACTCCACAGCCAGATATAAATAGCAGCCACTGCCAAAATCCACACCCAGCTCCCTTTTTTTCTGCCTCCGGGCAGCGTGGTCACTTCTCAGTTCCCCGCCTCCCCCACACTCCCACACCCTTTCTTGCTCTGTCCACAGGCCCTCTCCCTATCCCTCATCTGATCACTCCTCCTCACCCCCACAGAAGTTTCCAGAGCCACTTTCACAGGGAAACTTTCCCTATGTCCTCACTCACCACTACTTTCCAAGCGCACTCATGCCTTACGACTTCCTGCCCTTAGGAGAAGTAGAAAAACCATTTGTATTCTAGGAATCAACAGGGGTTTGTCCCTTCTGAGATCAGGGACTGTTTTGTTCACCATGATGTCCTCATCCAACTGCTGGGCAGATAATAAATGCTCCAAATGTACAATCTTGGTATATTTAATGAATGGATGGGTGACTTTCTGGATTTCTTCCGTTGTAGCCAAGACCACACCATCCCGATGAGCAGAGATGAGCACACAGCACTGCATCTCAGGTGCCTGAGGTCACCCACAGATGTTACCCCGATTTTTGGCCTTTTTCCCGAAGCCCCACCCCTTCCTCTTCAGCGACTCATTTTCCTTCCCCTGTCCTGGTTGGTGTGTGAAGACGGGCCTGTGGGGAAGCCGTCCTTTGGGAAAGTGATTAAGATCTGTTCTTCCATTGTACTTGGGGCCTAACAGCCTGTGTGCCTGTAAGGAGCAAAAATGTAAGTGTATTTCTGCTGTATTTTTGAAGTAGCTACACAAATACGGGAGCAGTGGCCTTGATGGCTCCTCTCTGTTAGCTGCAAGGAGCACAGCGCCCTGCAAATAGGCATGCGGGGAGGGTTTGCTGCTGCTCTGATGCCCCTGCAGGGGACGGAGGCTAAGACTTGAAAGCCGAGGAGCCAGTCATGCAAAGATCTGGCCTCAGAGTGCTGGGGGAAGGAGCAGCAAGGGGGAGGTCATAGGGTGGAAGCGTTCTGGAAAGATCAGAGGGTGAAGCAGCAGGCCAGAAGGCTGGTGGTGCAGGGCCTTGAAATGATGCTACAGTTTGGGTTTTGATCAAGTGTGGTCCGAGGCGATTAGAGGTTTTTAATCAGGAAACCAAAGGATCAGATGTATGTGTCTAGAATATTCTGGCCAAGGACTGGAGAATAGTTTGTAAGGGGAGAGGGAAAGAATGGTGTGAAGAGATCACTTAGAGGCCAGGTGACCTCGGGCAAGTGGTTAGATCTCCCCGAGCTTCAGTGTCCTTATCTGTAAAGTGAGACTAAGAAAGCCTTCATCAGAAGCTTCTAAGAATTCATGGTGTAATGATGTCAGCACATCCAACATAAAACAGCATCCCATTCAGTATAGTTCACAGTTTTCTCTCCTTTCTACATGAGAATGACCCCCAAGAATTCACACAAGTGCTTTATCCTTCTGTAGTAAACTTTGATGGTCTTGGCTGTTAAAATCTGGGGACACTGTGGACTGGTTGCTTGTGGTGTCCTGACACGCTCCCTGCTGACTCTAACAAGGCGTCACATATATTGTGGCGGCCACACTTGAAAGTTTGTTTACCTTTGCTGGAAGCTCACATTCTGGGCAGACAGGGCAGCGGTGGTGCAGGCAGAAGCCTGTAAGTAAACCACACGTGAGACTGTGCTGTCCACAGTGGACGGCTGTGGGTGCCCAGTGGGGTCAGCGACCATGAGAGCCATTGTTCTCCAGGAAAAAAAATCTCTGCTTTCACAGTGGACAAATCCACCAGGAAGCCTCTGCCGTCTGGACTCTGCCGAGCAGCTGCACTGTTGACAGACATGCACTGTCTGCCTGCGAGATTGCTGCAGGTGTGTTTCAGGGAGGCTCTCGTTCCTGAGAGACTGCTTTGAGCGTGTTGCACAGATATTGTGGATGGCTGGAGTGTGTGTGTGCGTGTGTGTGTGTGTGTGTGTGTGTGTGTGTGTGTGTGATTCTTTAATTTTTTGAGGAGCTAGGAATGAAACGTAAGGCTTTGTACCTGCTGGACAAGGGCTTAACCACTGAGCTACATCCCCAGCCCTAAAGTGTAATGTTGGAAAAGGTAAAATCATGACTACCCTGCAAATATAAAATGAGCTCATGCTAAGGATTTTAGCCAGTTCATTAATTAATGAGCAAATCATAAAGATGTCAAACCCATGTCAAAAGTCCTTGAGGAGTATATGTTCATAAGTAATTTGGAGATAACTTGTAGCTAGGGGCATCCAGCCCTCGACTCTGTCTATCCATCGGCTCCTAGGTCAGTGGTGGTGAAACTATGGTGCGTGTGCCAATTGTCCTAGGTGCTGCGCTCTGGGGTGCAGCTGAAATCAAGGAAGTGCTGGACCCTGGTGCTTGCTCTGTAGTGGGAAACAGACACCGAATGGTGAAGGTCCACTCCGTGACTTAATGCAAATGTGATGAGCCTGGATCTGGAAAGATACTGATGCAGGACGGGTGAGTGAGGACCAGCTTTTTGGGGAAGGTGTCAGGATGAGTCTAGAAAGATGTGTGGGATTTTACTGGGTGAAAATCCGCTGCCCATTGTGAGACAGAGGAAAGAGCATGTATGAAGGATCAAACTCCGCAACGTGATGGCGCTTGGAGGGGGCCTATGAGGAAATGAGACCCATGAAGCCAGAAGTGTGAGCAGGAGCAAACCACACAGGGTTTTGCAGGTTTGGACAGAGTCTGTCGTCATCCAGAGGGAACTGGGGAGCCACTGAAGGGGAGCAGAGAGCGGAGTGCATGATTAAACCCCATGTTTCTGAAAACTCGAGTCCTGGGATTGTGCTGTACATAGCAATACATGTTTGCTGGCTTGGGAGAAATACCTGGCACTAAGAAGGCAGTGGAAGTCTAGTAACTCAACTAGTTGTCTGCTACTCCGTCTCGTAAACTGTCTGGACTCACAAGTGAAAGCTCCACATCGTCCCTGGGTTGATTTCTGGTTCACCATGGAGGAGGAAGGAGCTCTCTTCATGCAGGGAGCGGCACTTCATGATACACATGCCCACAACTCTTCAGGATGTTTTATCTCTCTGTAGATACCGGACAAAGTGGAGCACTGCAGGGAGGTGACCGGCTTCCCAAGCTGCACAAAAATCTCCCACTTCTAGGGCAGGGGGCCAAAACTGATTCTGCTGTTTGATTGGGTTCAGTATTTCCAAGAATGAGTTAAAGAACATTGCACTTTTCCTTGGCAAAGATTTTTCAAACAAATGTACCATCCAAAAAAGAGCTAATGTCCAGGTAGGTTAAGGTGCAAGGAAACAGGCAGGCTCTTCCACGGGGCAGGAACTGTAAATTGATTTAAATCTTGTGCGGGCATTTGTGGCAGCAAAGGAAAGGCCCAAAGGCTTTGCTCTGCCAACTCCTGATGGAGAAATTTATCTATGGATGCAAATGAGGGGAGTGTCTCAGCTTTGTAATCACTAGAATGAGCTGAAATGTCCAAAACCTTGGCACTGTTGAAGAGGACACTGTGTGTTGCTAAGATAAAATACCTCACTTGCCCAGCTTAGAGGAGGAGAGGCCTATTGTGGCTCATGTTTTCAGAGGTTTCCCTCTCTAGTTGGTGGGCTCCGGGTAGACGAGGCCCGGCCGAAGCTTGCTTCCCAGCAGGTAGGAAGAAGCAAGAGAAAGTTATTGGGACAGGAAGAGCTGGAGGCAGGAGGCGCCCTTCAAAGGAAACGCCCAACACCACCTGCTTCCTCCAGCTGGGCCCACCTTCTAAGAACCATTCAGCTATGGAGGGCGGGAAGGATCATTACTTTAAAGTTAGACAAGCACATCACCCTCATGCAATTGCAGTGGAAAGTTTGGGTAAGGAGGAGGTTCAACAGCTGTCTCTGGCATGGCAGCCAGGTGTTTTTTGTTTGTTTGTTTTGCTTTTTGGTTGTTTTTTTTTTAAGGAGGTTGTCTGGGTTACTGAAAAAAAATTGAAGAATTAGGGAGACTGAGGTTTTGTTTGTTTTTCGGTACCAGGGATAAAACTCAGGACCTTCTGCTTGCAAGGCAGGAGCGGTGCCACTGAGCTAAATCCCCAGCCCTGAGACTGGGTTTTCAATCTGGCTATGTAGCCATAAACAAGCCACTAGCTCCCTGATTCTTCCGTCACTCACTGATTTATGTGCACACATGTGTACAGGTGTATGTGTATATGATCAGCCATTTAATTCTCATAATAATCCTATGAAGTAGTATTACTCTTATTCCCATTTTACAGGTGAGGGAATTAAGGCTTGGAGGGAGTAAGTAGTGTGTTTGAGGGTAGCTAAAACCTTAACCCATAATGTACTGTACGAAGGATTTCAACCCAAGTATGCGCTATGCTACCCTCAACTGTATAACTACAAGGGTCATAGCTTCCACAAGTGTGAAAAGGAGTATTAGGCTGCTGGACCTGGGTAAGAGGTGCAGATAAACCTTCCCTGAGGATGTGGCCCCGAGGGTGGGAAGGAACAGGGGCGAAAGGAAGTAGCAGCCATGCGTGCCTGGGTTTCTGCTTGGCGTTGCTGTAGCAGACTGCGGACAGGGTTAGTATCTGCAAATTCTCTTTCCCTCCCAGCCCCAGACACTCCTGGCCAGAGCACTTTACAACAACCGCCCCGACTGCTCCGACGAGCTGGCTTTCTCCAGAGGGGACATCCTGACCATTCTTGACCAAGACGTGCCTGAAAGCGAGGGCTGGTGGAAGTGTCTGCTTCATGGCAGGCAAGGCCTGGCCCCAGCCAACCGCCTCGAGGTCCTCACGGAGGGCCCTGAAGACGGGTCACCCCCGGCCAGTGCGGAGGAGACCTACCAGGTGCCCGCCACGCTCCACTGCGCACCGCTGGGACCCGTGTATGAGCCGATGAAGGGCTGGGTGGAGAGGTCCCCGCCCCCCACTACCCAGGTCTACGAGTTCCCGGACCCACCTTCCAGAGCCAGAATCGTCAGCGAAAAGACTCTGAGCTTTCCAAATCAGGTAAGTGCACCTCCAAAGGAAAGGAAAATATGCTGCCCATCAGACTGAACCCGCAAGGGGGAACACTGATGACTGGTGGCCCAGGTGCGGAGCTTTGGGGCTCGGCCCACCCGTGACTGCCCAGCTCTGTGAGACTGGCCACAGCGGGCAGCACGCCACAGGCTGAGTCCGTTTGTGCACTGTAAGAGAGCACGGGGGCCCCTTCATGCTGTGAAGGTCACTAGGGCCCTTAGTGACCAATGTTGGGGTTGGATTCCTTTGTGCCAAGGCAAGAAGTTACTCATGACATTTAAGACGTGTGTGAGTGTGTGAGTGCATGTCAGAGGTACCGATAAATGTTGGTGATCACCACAGTGAGCTACTCTGCAATTGTTTTGTAAAAAAAAAAAAAAAGGGTATTTATTTATAAGGGGGAAGAAGGAGCCACCAAATCAAAGACCAAATGAACAAAAATTCAAAAACACAGTGTGCATGTATGTGCGCATGGCCTTGCACAGAAAGGGCTGGAGGAACCCATGCCAGATGCAGGGCCTTAGGAAGTAGCACAGGTGAAGGAAGGCTGGCCGCAGGGACCAGGCCTCACACAAAGTAGGTCCTTGATAGGCATGTCGCAAATAGATTAGGAAGTTGACGTCTGTGGTCTGTGGAATGCATATAAAATCTACAGTTTTTATAATACTGTTTAAAAAAACAGAAAAAGGAGCTCTTAGTAAAGGCAAAATGAAAGCTTTTTTTTTTTACGAAAATAAGGAATTAAGAGGAGGAGAAAAGTGACACATTGCTTTCCCCAAGCCTTGGTGCTTGTGAAGCGTTAGGAATGCATAGTAGACCAGCAGGGCTCAGTCCCTTGAGCATTTCCCACCACCACAGACTCTGCTTTGAGCCCAAGTGACACAGCCCACCCGGCCACAGCCCTGATAGAAGTCTCGTGGGGCCTGTGTCAAGGGGTGGGGGGAAGGCTGCTGCCCCAGTGTGTGAGGTGTGATTTAAAAATACAGTCATGCTTGCATTTTAAAAATTGCATTATAGTAAAAGATACATTGCCACTAATCCCTTCAAAATACTCCCTTTCATTTCGCACACGCGAACCCTATCATTATGGCTATTTTCCGAAGCAGTTCTGGAAGTCTTCTTTTGTATCTTTACAAAGTATGATTAAAAAAACAAACAAACAAACATGGCGAATGCCGCTGCTGCCACTGCTGCGTGCCATCCAAGGGAAAGGCAGGCTTTTAAAAATGTTACAGTGTGTATTCATCTTATTTACCCAGCGTGGCAACATTCTATTTCTGGCTTTTCCCCAAAGTCAAAATGATCATGAGAGGTAAACATTTTTAATTGATTCAGAACATCAAAGCAGCCAAAACAATGTAAAGGAAGACACTGAAGAAAGAGAACTTCCAGAACTGTTTCAGAAAATAGCAAGGATGAAGGGATCAATGTGCTTGAAGTGTATTTGGAGGGGGCTTCATGGCAATGTGTCTTTTATTGTAATAATTTTTTTAAATGCAAACATTCATCATATTTTTTCGATCACCCCTCATCCATGCAGTGGAGACCCCAGGAATAAGCTGCCCACTTCTCAGGCCTCCCCCCAGCAGCTGGAAGGTGTTGATTCCTTCAAAAAGATTTTGAAGAGTTCCGATTTTCTAACTCTCTGGGTTGCAAGGCATAGAATCAGACAGCTGTTACACGGAACAGCTGCCAACATGCAAGCACTGGCTCCAGGCACCAGGAGGAAGAAGCCTCCAGGCCGGCCGGGCCTCCACTAGCAGCCCACGGGGCAGACCCTACCTCACTCCTCTGGAACAGTTGGCCCGCTCTCCCCCTGGCATCTCAGCTGCGGTCAGAGCAGCTGCCTCTGTGCGGGGACCTGGTGGTGTCTCCTCTAAGAACAAGCGATACTAGCTGAAGTTGGCTGAGCATCAGTGCCAATTCCCCCTTTCCCTAAAGACAAAGGGAACGTGGTGTCAGCCAGGCATCCCCAGCACTCCGCACAGTACTGGCCCCTGAGGCATTTAGTAAAATGTGGCTGCATGAATGACACGAGCCACCAGGCTTCAGAAACTCAGACTCCCCTGCCAGCTGCTGAGTGGGTGAAGGGAAGGATGAGGGTACTGTGCGGGGGGCGGGCACAGCAAGACCCAGAGGGCCTCTGCTGGAAGATCTGTCCTGACCAAAGCACGGCAGTCCTCACCTGGACCCCTGCGGGTACCAAGAGGAACTTCAGCTTCCAAAGGGGAATTCGGGGCCCCTGCGTGGGGGTCTGAGGTTGCCACGGTAAAACACCCGGGGAACTTTCCTGCCTGGTTTTCCTTTCTTAAGTTCCCTCCTTGTCTTCCCAAACTACATTTCTTCCCCTTGCCTTTCCTTTCTTTTCCTTTCTCTTCCTTTGAGGGCCCAGCCCCGGTTTCCTTGGCTTTGGGATAAGCCACTGTCACTCTGGAGCACTGAGAAGGAACGTCTGGACACCCTCTGTGCATCTCTTTCCTCCTCTCTGTCAGGGGGTTGGACTTATCATTTCTCAGATCACCCCCAATTGCACCTTATCATGATTCTAAATAACTCCACATCTCCCCCAGCTTTAAAGAGCAGGGAGCTAGGTGTAGTAGAATAGTTAATAATCAGCTAAGAATGTTCTCTGGCCACAGAAAAGGAAGTCATCACCTATGTGCTCAGGTGAGCTGACATTTAATCCAAGTCTGCCAGTGCTCAGGAAATACAATCGAGCAGATGTGATCACTGATAGAATCAGGAAAGTCCCAGCCCCTGGCTTCAGCCGCTTTCTGGTGGAGCGCCCACAGGCTCGGCCCAGAGAGCGACTCTTCACAGCCTCCTTTTACAGTTGATCTCTGTACTTACAGACTGGCTCCAAACAAAAAACCGAGATCATGGGAACACATGGCTTTCCCCAAGTTGTCCTAAGAAAAGCATCTATGTGTCAGATGTCCCTATAGCTGACCTCTGTGGACCTATGGATTAGAGAGATTTTCCATTTTTGCAGATGAGGAAACTGATCCTGGGACAGGACAGGAAGCTGCCCATCCAGGCTCAGGCAGCTGTGGCCACAGAGCTGGGACTAAAGCTCCCCAGTTGGATCCGTCTGCCTCACCCCAGAGAGAGCTCTCCCCTCACCATCTCGGGCTGCCCCTCATCTCCTTCCCTTTGCTGTGGCTTAAGCTTTTCTCTCTATGGAGGTTTTTGTTGAAGTCTCGCCTTCAGATCCGAAGGGTGCAGCTCAGCTGCTAGTATCAATCAAAAAAGGAAACAAGTCTGGGATGCAGCTGAGTGGGAGAGTGCTTGCCTAGTTCGTGGAAAGCCCCAGGTTCAATCCCTAGCACCATAAATAAAACATAAAACCAGCCCTGTGTGGCACCCCCATGCCTGCAACTTTCTCTATTACTTCCCCCCGGGGTAACCACTATCCTGAGCTTTGTTTTGCCTTTATGTCTACTTCCTTAATACAATATGTAGGCCTGATTTAAAAGAAAATAGAGCACATAAAGAACATGTTGGATTTTGGTTTCACTTCTAAGGGGGACTTTGGTATTTCAAGTGTAAAGAGCTAGGTTTCCTGGTGAAGTCACCATTGGACCCGATAGTTCCTAAACCAGAATTTCTTCTGTCTCCCTAAACCTTTCAAAACCACATTTCTCAGACATGTTCCTTAATTCACCGATACCTGGAACCTACATTTTCCAAGAAACTGGGTATTTTTGCAGTGGCGTCTTCCTATCTGACATGTCATTGGCAGGAAAGTCCCTTGGCCCCCTGGTGGTGCTTCTACCTGCACACGTGGTCCACAAAGCCAGCCACATAAACAAAGTGGGCCTGAAGGCACCGGCGAGTAACAGGCAAGGGGGCATCGCTGGAAAGGTTCTTCGGTGAGAGCTGGGTGTGTTGGGATAGGTGGAGCCCGGAGCGGGCAGACGAGGAGGAGAGGGGCAATGGGTAAGGACGCTCTTGCCTGGCTCCCAGGCCTGGATGGTCCGTGGCTTCTTAGGCTGTTGAACAGCTTGGGTTTAAGTAAAAATCCAGTGGGGACCATTGGTGAATCCACACTGGCCCAATCAGCCTGAGACCACCCAGTAGAGAGCTAGGGTTATAGCTTGTAATGAGGAAGACGGCAGGCCAGAGAACCCAGAAACAACCCACAAACAAGAAAAAGTAGCCTCCTTGTGGAACTGGGGGAAAGATGGGGTTCGGGTGAGATGTGATAGGAAGTGAACCAGGATAATAGGCTCCAAGTGGTCAGCTCCAGCCTGAGTGCGAGGTCCCCTCTTGGGCACCACACAGCAGAGACAGGTAGAATGCCGGCCTGTGTCCCCTTCCTGCAGAGCTCTGCCTGGAAGTCTCTGCTGCCCCTGCCCATGACTCAGGTCCTCCGGGCACTAGTGGGTTGTTGCCTGTCTAATGCCAGGATTTCAGAGAGCAGCGCTTCCCAGATCCTGTTTCTTTGTAAAGAAGGGAAAAAAAAAGCAGCTGTCACTCAAGGAAGGAGTCTGTTTTGACACTTGACAGCTGCACTGTGTCCTCGGGAGACGTGCGCGTCCTGTGGGCTTTGCAGCTGCTTTAGCTGCACCTGTGACTCCAGCATGCTGGACAACCGAACGGGTTTTTATACATCAAACTAGATTTTACTGTCCTGAGGTGGACACACTCACCAAAAATGAACAAATAAATGCCAGCACTTAACATGTGCACCCCAGCACTAGGTTTTAGGGACATCAAGATGAACGAGGGACCCTGGCCTTGTCCTCATTGAATTCTGACTTCCCTCCTGATCCAGCTTGGGAATCCCCCACTCAGTGACAGGCTCCTTGGGACCCAGGCTGGAGGCACGCTTTTCCCTTCCTAGGCTCTCAGGAACTTCAGCTTTTCCTCTCTTCCAGCCCTGTCTTGAGTCCCAGCCCGTGTCCTCGATGTGCCCGCATCTATTTCCTTCCCCTGTAGACTGAGCCCCCATCAGCCAGCATCACTACCCTATTGAAAAACATCACCCACTGCCAGGCCTCTCCTAGACACGATCTGATTCAAAAGGTCTGAAGTAGGCCCGGATTCTTTTGTGGTTCACCAGAGAATTCAGGCCTTCAATCCGAGGTGGAAGCCACCACCCTGTAGCATGCAGAACAGTCCCTGGTTTAGAGCTGACAGCAATGAGCTCTAAATGGTTATCTGGAGCCCCACATTCCCTCTGCAGGCACAGACTCTGTGGCAGCAGCTTTAACAATAACGGACCAAGTACTCCTACTGTCAGTGTAAATCCTGAGCTCCTTAGCTGACTCCCCGCTCCTCCTCTCCTCCCCTTGCCTACTCCCCTCTGTTGCTTTCATCCACTCGTCACCAAGGTCTCTTCGCCTCCCGCTCAGGACCTCAAGAGCTGTCACCCGTGATTCCTCCCATCACCTCTGACTCCCCACTGGTGATCGCCCCAAGTGGCACCCGTTTCCATGGGCCTGCTTCCCCTCGACCTGCTGAGCCCCTCCAGGTACCCGAAGACAGCCAGTGCTGCTTGTGAGGCGGGCAGCCACAGCCTCAGCATCACCGGGTGAATGCACCAACGACCCCGGGCTGGACTTCTCTCACAGTCACCAAGCAAGCTCACTTCCCCTGCAGGTTCTTGGGGCCTTCAGCTCTCAGAGGTTCGCCAGATGCGGGGCCCAAGACCCTGCACTCTGACTGCTTCCCAGGTGAGACAGAGACAGGCAGCTGTGGTCCACCTCTGAGGAAGGCCGCCTTCCCACCAGCCGGCCCCAGGCTCCAGCATGAAGGATCTGCCTCCAGAGGTGCTGGGCACACCCTCTCCAGCATCCGACAAGCTGTCTTTGCGTCAGAGACATAACTCAGAATGTAGTGATGATAATGACCATGACACTGTCTTTCCCCTGGCCCTTCTGTTCCTCCCAGACCCTCTTCGAGCTTCCCAGACCTACGACAGCCACAACAACAGCCCTGCCTTCCCAGGTGTATGACGTGCCTGCCCACAGCCGGCCCTCCTTGGCCCTTAACGTGAGTCTGATCCAGCCACCCTGCCCCCATCTGGCCTCTGTGCCAGGAACCTGGGATGGGGGTGTCACGCGGACATCACATTTCAGCTCACTGAGGTCTTCAGGGGCCTCAGTTTGCTCTAACTCCAAAGACACCCCACCCAGATGCCAGCTGCACAGCCAAGCTCCGCAGAACAGTGGCGACTGAAGTTCTGCGTGGTTGTGGAGTTGTACTTTTCACGTGCAATAGAAGGGCCAGGGATGTAGCTCAGTGGTGTCGCGCCTGCCTCCCAAGTGCAAGGTCCTGAGTTTGATCCCCAGTACCAGAAAAGAAAAAAGCAAACAGGGCCGAGGATTTAGCTCAGTGGTGGTTCCACCACCTGCCTTGCAAGCGCAAGAACCCAAGTTCGATCCCTGGTACCGGAAAAAAAAAAAAAAAAGCATATGTAATAGATATTTCATTTTACATATATGTATGTATATATTATGCATGCATTCTTGCACTTTTTAAAAAAATCTTTTGGGGGAGCATTGCTAAAGATGGAACCCAAGTGCTTTATACTGAGCTACATCCCCAGCCCCCAAAAATAACATATTAAGGGTGGGCATTATAATCTTAGCATTGGTTATCGCTGATAGCCCAACAGTTACTATCTCTGTTTTAGGGTTGGTTATTTTTTTTCTAAACTTACTTGTACATAACTGGAACATCAAATTTTTTTAAATGTGCTTCACGAAGTGAAAAATAACTTCAATGGGGAGAGGTGGCGCACGCCTATAATCCCAGTACTCAGGAGGCCGAGGCAGGAGGATCACTGTGAGTTTGAGGCCATCCTGGGCTGGATGGTGACTTTAAGGCCAGCCTAAATTACATAGTGAGATCCTGTCCCAATTAAAAACAACAACAACAAAAACTTCACTCTTTTTTTTTAAGATGCTGGAGATTGAACCCTTGGCTTTTGTACTGAACTATATCCCCAACGCTTTTAATGCTGTTGATGTAAGACACTACATTACTAAATGTCACACTACATTACTAAATTGCCCAGGCTAGGCTGGAACATGTGATCCTCCTGCCTCAGCCTCCCAAAGTGCTGGGATTACAGGCCTGTACCACCAGGCCCAACTCTTCACTCCTTCCTTAGTTTTCAGCCTCCACCATCGCAAGTGGGAGCCCTGTGGGAGCTGCCCCAGGCCTGCTGCCTGGCCCCTCCTCAGAGGTCCTGTGGTCTCAGACCTCAGCCACAAGCATCAAGGCCTTCAACGCTTCCGTGTGACTCTGTGCAGCTGGGGCTGAGACCACAGCAGTCGTGTCAATAGAACTCACACAGCTCTCTGACTTCCTGGTCACTCGGGTCCAAAGAAGTCACTTTAGCCTCCCTAGTCTCCAGGGAGGAGATGCAACATCCAGGTGAAAAGCAACCTCTCCGCTCATGTCAGGCTGGAGCCCCTGCCTTGCCTGGCTTGGTCCTGCTTATGCAACCTGGGATCCGGAAGTGTGAGCTCAGGATGCACTGGGATCTCTGCAGCTCCCCATGGAAAGCTGGCACAGAGACCTCCTGGCAGGGTTTCTGACTGGGGTGGGGAGAGGGGCCCCACTCACCTGGTTTCCTGGGAGCAGGTGCAGGGCTGGAGGGTGGCAGTGGGTCAAGCTGACTCCTGCTCCTCTGGACTGTCCCCTGCCTCCTCACTGAGCACAGTTTTCCTGCAAGTTCCACCTGGAGGTCAGTGTTCCTGCTGTGCCTGTCTTCTTCCCTCGCTCCAAACAGGAAGGTCGCCTCCAGTGTGTCCTCCCGAGGGTCCCTCATCCATCTGCTGGCCTTGCTCAGCCCTGTGGCCCTTGCCAGGTCCACAGAAAACACACCTCCTCCCTTCACTGTGAGAGACTCCGGGAGCACCGGTGGCTGCCTTGTGTAGCTGGCCTCCCTCACCTCACCCTGAGCCTGGCCCCGTCGTGCCCCGTCTTCATTTAAAATTCTGATCATTTGTTCATCATCATGTTTGCATTAATTATGACTTTTTAAAATATCACCTGGATGTATGTAGTTTCATTGCCTTCCAAATGCTGTGCCCTCGGTGAGGGCTTCGCTTCTGTCACTCTGGTCCCGATCCCGGCACAGGCCCCTGCACTGTTTGGCCATCAGCCTCTCCCCTCCCACCCCAGCCAGCGCCCACACTCAGGGCACATGGCTCGAGTCACCAAAGGCTCCCTCTGGAGCCCTCAATGCCTTATTTGAAGGGCAGGGACCCCCTCCCCCAGCCAAGGGGAGTCCATGGGATATTCAGAGCCTAATAAACCCCACTGAGGCCCAGCTCTTTCTCTTGCTTTTTTTTTTTTCATTAAAGCTGTTTTGGTGCTGTGTCACTTTGCTTTGAAACTTGGATCTTTTTTCTCACATCCTAATATACGTGTTTTCTGATTGCTGTGAGATAGATGGATATTATAATCTATATTATAATGTATGTATTTCAAGTTACTGAAGGAAAGTGACACTGTAGGAACATGACAATCAGGGTCTCCACAAGCACAGTGCCTGACACTTAATAGGTCCTCAGTATGACATATATTTGTCCAAAAGTCACCCGGAGCCTCTTTTTATTGCTCTCAGTACTGTATGCATACAGTGCCACCTGGCTGAGTGTTTAGTAGGTAATAGGCACTTGATAGACATTTTTAGGATGAATACAAGAGTGATAAACATAGGATAATTTCTGTTGAGAGAAACAAATGAAAAGGAAGATGCCAGGGCCATTTTTCCTTCTGGCTTCGTTGGTTCTTAAGGCTGATTCCTTTAAGAGGAGCTGTCAGGGAAACACAGGCAGCTGCACCTTAGTGCTCCATGGCTTTTCCCACCTTTGAAGCAGGACTCCTTTAAAGCACCAAGCCTTTTGCCGAATGTACACTCAGCGCAGCGTGGAGACTCCCCCCGGAAGAGCAGCTTGACTGAACCCCGAATTGTTCAGGGATTTGTCTTTCTTTGGAAAAAAGCACTGGGGTGTGGAGAGTTCGTGACGGTAGCCATTAGGAAGGAAGAGTCTAAGTATCCTCTTCTATGTCCTTCCCTAGCAGCCAGCGAAACACCGGCTATACGATATACCAAGCAGCTTCCACAAGGCAGCCCTGCAGCTCCCGGCCGGACAAGCAAGTGTGAGTATGAGATTCGATGCTATGAAAACTAAATGTCCACTGGGAAATGTCATCGTCTTGGTGTGTTAGTCAGCTCTCCGTCGCTGGGACAAAGTACCTGAAACAAACAACTTGTAAGGAGGAAACGTTTATCTGGCACTTGGTTTCAGACGTTTCAGTCCATGGTAGGTTAGTCCATGGCTTTTGGGCCTGTGGCGGTGCAGGATATACTGGCAGGAGTGCATAGTGGAGCAAGGGTATTCACGTCACGGTGGCCAGTTTGGGACCGGGGTCCTGATACCCCCTTCCAGGGCACCTCTGATGGCATCACTTCATTCAACCAGAACCTCTTAATGACTCCATCACCTCCTGACCAGCATCAGGAGCTGGAGACCAAGGACTCCACAAGGGAGGCTTTCAGAGACATTTCGGGTCTAAACCATAAAGCTCAATCAAAAACAGAACACAAATTGCTCTTGACAAAGTCTCACATTGGAGGCACCATCCCCAAATGCACTGGGGTTTATGCACAGGGTTGGGCATGTGGTGTGACAAGTCTTTGAACTTCTCCGTGCTTCCGTTTCTTTGTTTGTTTGTTTGTTTGTTTGTTTTGAGACAGGGTCTCACTACGTAGTTGAGACTGACCTGGAATTCACTCTGTAGCCCAGGCTGGTCTCGAACTCACAGCGATCCTCCTGCCTCAGCCTCCCAAGTGCTGGGATTACAGGCGTGCGCCACCGTGCCCAGCACTAACGTATGCTTTGACTTGGATGCAGGCTTCACCTGCAGTCTGCACCATCCACATGCCTCATTCGATTCTAGCACGTGTGCTATGGACATGCTCGCATCTAAGGTTACTGGGGGAAGCCTTACCAGAGAGGCAGCACTTCAGTGTAATGAGCGGTGTACAGGAGTTTGTTAGCTGGAAAGGAAGGGGTTGGAAGGGCAGTTAGGGCAAAGGAACCAGTTTGGGGGAAAAAAAAAAGTGGAATTCTGAGTCCGGTGGGTGATAAACAGCCTGAGTAGACACTGTAAGCATGGCAGGGATGGGATGGTAGGAGTGGAGAGAAAGGGGGCTCAAAGCCATGTGGAGACAGCCTGGAGGGGCCTTGACAGGTAATAGCACTGGGGAGCCATGGAAGGAACCTGAGCAGGGGGGCAACAGACTTTAATGAGTCACTCAAATACTCTTTTTTTTTTTTCCTTATTGTACTGGGGATTGAATCCAGGCCTTCGCACTGAGCAACACCCCAGCCCCTCTCCCCAACCTTTATTTTATTTTATTTTATTTTATTTATTTGTTTGTTTGTTTGTTTTTGTAATTTTGAGACAGGGTCTCTAAGTTACTAAGTTGCCCAGGCTGGGTTTGAACTTCCAAACCTCCCGTCTCAGGCTCCCAGAGGGTGGGGTTACAGGCATGTGCCACATGCTCAGGTCAAACCTTCTTTTTATGGCTACTACTCTGAGACAACTTTGTGTGATTCCTACACAGGGCCAGAGCGTTCCCCCGACGCCTGCGCTGGACTTCGGAAGAGGTGGCTACAATACATCACCAGCCCCTCAGAATTCAGGATGGATTTACGACATGCCAGCGCCTCTGGGAAAGGCCAGGGTCAGAAATTCAGCTCCAGCTGGCTCCACGGAAGACACAACGCCAAACACTGTCCCCAGTTCGGCAGCCATTGCTGTCAGCCCCCTGAGCAGCAGAGACCAGGCCCTCCATCCACAGCCGTGTGACAGTGTGCCCACGAAGAAAAAGCTCAGCCTCCCAGAAGTGCCTCCCTCCACCTTCCCAGCACCTCAGGACACAGTCCCTTTGGATGCAGGCATCAGCTACAGGGTGCCTTCGAGCTTTCTGATTCCCCGAGTGGAGCAGCAGAACACCAAGCCCAACATTTACGACATCCCTAAAGCCAGCTCAAATGCATCTCTGGCTGAGAAAGAGTTTCAAAAGGCCAAGGAGGCCCCAGAGAACTCCTCGGGCCTCGATCCCTGCCCGTTCTCAAGACGGACGACCACTCTGTACCCTGAGTTGGACAGACTGTCCGTTTCCAGCTCAGACAGCAGAGCCAGTGTCCTTTCTTCATGCTCCTCTGTGTCCACCGACTCCTCCTGCAGCTCTTCATCCTCCTTGGAGGACTCAGCCAAGGAGCTCTGCCTGGATGTGGACTCGGCCAAAGAGATGGCGATGGCCCTGCAGCATAAGGTGGTCAACTCCGCAGCTGGCCTGCTGCTGTTTGTGAGCAGGAACTGGAGGCTCCGAGACTCCCTGGAGGCCAACATCCATGCGATCCACAGGGCCGCAGACCACATAGCAGGGTCGCTGAGACAGTTCCTGGATTTTGCCCAAGGAGTCCGTGGGACCGCCTGCAACCTCACTAACGGTCACCTTCAGGCCAGAATCCAGGAGCAGCTGCAGACAATCTCCAACTCCTACCAGAGCCTCCTGGAAGCAAAGGAGCGCCTGGACAGCTGCAAATGGTCTCTTGACGTTCTTTCGGTGGACAAAGTCCAAAGCAGCATGGATGACCTTGAGAGGTTTGTCATGATTGCGCGGATGGTTCCAGAAGAGGTCAAGAGGTTTGTCTCCATAGTCATCGCTAACGGGAGGCTCCTTTTTAAGCAGAACTGTGAAAAAGGAGACACTGTGCAGTTGTCCCTAAATGCAGAATTTAAATGTGCGAAATGTGTCCAGCTTCCCCAAAGAGAAATGGAATCCCACCAAAAGAGTACTCCTCCTAACAAACAGAGGGAGAACGGACACTCCCCTAAGCCGGCACAGAAAGACAGGACAGCTGTCTGTGAACAGGTGAGTTCAGAGTCCGAAGTGATGGAACAGGGCGTCACTGTTAGCCAGCATGGTCATCACTAGGCGAGATGCTGAGGACCTTCCATAGTGCGTTGGCTCCGGGGGGATGCAGAGAAATTGGTTCCATTTCCCAATCAATCAATCAGTCAATCCTCATCCATCACTCATCTTCATGAAAGTAAACTCCTAGGTAAAATCCTAATTAGCAAGTCAGATGATTGTTTTCATATTAAAGCAGATGGAACACGTGCATATTTAGATTTCCTCAAGAAATGTTTGGGGCTCAGGTTTTACCACTGATGCTGGAATGAACAGGGATTTTAAAAAACTATCTAGAAATCCATTCATTGAAGCCAGGGGAGGTGGCACCTCCCTGTAATCCCAGGGTTCGAGGAGCCGCAGCAAGAGAATCGTGAGTTCAAGGCAAGTCTGAACAATTTATGGAGATCTTGTCTCAAAAAAAGTGGATCTATTTGTTGAGTGAATTTTTAAATCTTACTACCTAGTTTCCTTGCACTTTTGAAAGTTATAAACGCCGTTGTCAACATGTTTCCTAGAAACAGAAAAGGAGCGTGAGCTTTCTTCCAGATTGTTCACAGCCTGACCAGCCCCTGGGTGCAGTCACAGTTGGAGATACTCTGCAGACTGTCTCCACATCTCACAGGAACAGACTTCAGTTCCAGACGTTACCAGCTTCAAGGGCCTAGCAGCTACCTGGGGGCTGTGTCACGGAGACATTTTGACACTTTCAGTCCTGGCCTTAGAGTTCTGCTGAAATACCTGGTGACGTAAGGGCTTTGACACATCCTACACACACTGAACATTTTTAATTTTCATTATGCATGGATATAATTTTATAAACTACATGGGTCATTATAATAGGCCATTTTGTTAGGTGAAATTCAGCCTGTGGGCTGCCAAATTCAGCTCTACCAAAGTCTCTTTCGGTTGAAAAAAAAAAGGTAACAAACAGTAGGTAAATCCATGGACAAAAGTATCAGGATAGATGTGTCAGTTTAAAGCGAATTTAAACAGTCGTATCATAATGTAAAAACCATTCAAGCTAGTAATTTAAAGGGATTTTATTTTACAGATGTTGCCTGGCCTAGAAGAGAAAGAAAAGTCAATCTTAGAACAACAGTCCGATGAAAACAGAAACTTAGAACCAGTGGTAAGCCGTCACACTCAGCCCCTGCCTTCCAATTAATGTGGTTTTTGTCCTTCGAGTTGTCTCCTCTGCTATGGAAAATTCACTATGACAGCATGACTTGCACGGGGGAGGCTTGCTACTTCCTTTTTAGCAGTAGAAGGAACCCTGGAGAGCGCAGTGTAGGGAGTGTGAACCTTTAGTCATCAGGGAAAGGGTCTGGCTGCTCTGTAGGGCTATTGTGGGCGGTGCCACCGTGGCCCTAAAGAGCCATCTCATTTCCTTGACATTTTTTTTTTCATGCTTCTCGTTACAATGGCAACAACAAAAACATTTGGGTTTGGGTTTTGTGTATCTTCAACACCTCTTTGACACTTGATCTACCGGTTTTCTTTTAAATCAAAGATGTTATCATCGTGCTTATTTCTCTTGGTTGTCTCTTCTGTGTGGCAGATGACCGTAGTCTTCCTTTTATCAACTTTTAAAGTTTTCTCTAAATTAATTAAAGTAAATAATGAGTCCATTTAAAGACGAAGTGTGAACAGCAGATGTTAAGAGACAGGCAAGAAAGGGTATAGCCTGCAAAGGCTGTGAAAGTTATCTTGGAGTTATTGATGCTTGGGTAACAGTGAACCAGTCTAACAAGCTGGAATTCGGGGCACGCGGGGTAAAAGACTGAAGGACAGACAGGTCCCTGACTCGGAAAAAGGTCATATTCCTCCTCCGATGCAAACTAAGGCAAGAACCCAGGCCTCGTGACACCCAGACCCCAGACACTCATCTCTGGGCTTGCCATATTGCTGGGCCATGCTGTCTTCCTCTCTGGGGAGAAAAACCTTAGACCTGTGGTTCTCCAACTCCACAGTGCATGGCAGGGCTTTGCTGAAACTCCGAAGGCTGAGCTCCCCTGTAAGCTTCTGCTACAGTGTGACTTGGTGAACCTAGGAGGCTGCATCTTTGATCAGTTCTTGGACGAGGCAGCTGGTGCAGGGCCCCTGCTAGGCAGCAGTGCTTCCGTGGTCGGGGACAGGGCGTCCTTGGCTGGGGAGACAGTTCTGTGTGTGGGGTGGGCTGTTTGGGGTCTCAAGCCTGCATCCACCAACTTTCCTGCAGCCGTTTCTCCTCGAGGCGACAGTGAGACCCAGCTCCACGCATCCCATGCCCAGGCTCGGGGTCACAGTGTCATTTGTTTTGTTTTGTTTTCTGTACTGAGGATGGAACTCGGGTCCTTTAACTTTTCAGACAGGCGTGGGTGGTGCCACTGAGCTAAATCCCCACCCTCACAGTATACTTTTCGTCCACTTCTGCCTGGTACTTTCCAGTTATGATGCTAACAATCTAACCTCGGGCTCCTTGCATCTGCCTGGTTCTAACCTGCACCTCATTCTTCTTATCCTCCGGAATCCCAAAGAAGCATCTTAACTGATACTCCAAACTTTTCTTCACTTTGTGCTAAAAACTATTCACTGCTTTCATTTTCCAAATATGATTTTTTTTTTTTTTTGCAGTACTGAGGATTGAGGATCTCACGTATATTAGGCAAGCATGCTACAACCTATAGCCCTGGTCCTTATTTATTCTTTCATTCATTTTAGTTGAGTCTCACTAAGTTGCCCAGATTGGCCTCGAGTTTGCAGTCCTCCTATATCAGCCTCCTGAATAGCTTGGCTAAACATGAAATTCTAATAATGAGTAGACCTCGCCAGCACTTTCCTACCTCTGTCCTTGTCTGATTTCCCCACCAAACCCACCAGCCACTGAGGACACAGCCCCTTTCTGAAAAATCACTCTTGTGTGTTTCCCCTGTCTGAGAGTTGTCATAGGTAAATGAAGTGTGGTTAAGAGAAAAAGTTCAGTTTAGCCTTTAACTTTGAGCTCTAGACCTTTAACTTGCTGACTAAATGTCCTTAGTAGCCTCTCCTCTGAACTTCAAAGTCCTTACCTATGAAATGAAAAGAGGAGATTCTTGAGGCCCTGCCCACCTATAACCCTCGCACTCAGGGAGGCTGAGGCAGGAGGATCACAAGCTGGGGCTCCGCCTGTCACTTAGTGACACAGCAAGACCCTGCAAAAGACAAAACATTAAAAATGTCTGGGGATGTCCTGGGTCCCCCTGAGCAGCCCTGGGTTCAAAAGCCCAGGCCTGCAAAAGTAAATAAGTAAAATAACAAAGGGCTCAGGATTTTTGCCTGGCATGCTCACCACCGAGTCAGGTGCCGAACGTTGACTTTGGGGGAGATGCTGATTCTATTTCCCACACAGTAAATTACCTGAGAGTAAAATTCTGATGAAATCTTTTAGCAAAGAAGCATTTTCATATTAAGGCAGAAAGCAGTAGGTCAGCCTATTTGATTCATTCTACAAACCTTTGGAGTGCAGATGTACCTCTTCTAGTGGAAGCAGAAAGAATTTTTAAATGTTTTAAAATCTGGTGGTTTTCTGTTTGTTTCTTTTTGTTTTTTCCTTTGAGACAGGGTCTCGCTATGTAACTCAGGCTGGTCGTGAACTCACTTATGTAGTCCAGGCTGGCCTCAAACTTGTGGCGATTCTCTTGCCTCAGCCTCCTGAGTGCTGGGATTACAAGTGTGGGCCACCACACCCAGTTTAAAATCTATCCTATGAGTAAATTTTAAAAATCTCATCATCACGTTTTTCCTCCCTCCCTCCCTCCCTTCCTTCCTTTCTTCTGTCCCTCCTTACTTTCTTTTTCACTAGGGATTGAACCCAGGGCCGTGTACCTGCTAAGCACATGCTGTATCACTGAGCTACACCCCAACATTTCGGGCACGTCTGAATGTTACGCATTTGGCCCCTGTCAGCATGTTTCTTAGAATGGGTTCCTTATGGCTAACGGCACTTTAAAACATCAATTTGTTAGACACATGTTGCAGCATTGATTTCCCAAACGAAACTGTTTCTCTTATAAAAAGGCTTGTCAATTGGGCAAAAACAGGAAGAGGAGGACATCCACAGCCTGCTGATCGATCCACCACTTATCCGCTTTGGTCTTGCTCTTCTCTAGAACCCCAGCTCTCTACCCCAGCCCTGGAGCGGGCCGGCCCCCGACAGGAAAGTCCCCCTCTCCGAGCACTGCCGGCTGTACTTCGGGGCGCTCTTCAAGGCCTTGGGCGCGCTTCACGGCAGCCTCGACTCCGGCCAGCCGCCCGAGGTGTTCATCACGCAGAGCAAGCTGGTCATCACGGTGGGGCAGAAGCTGGTGGACACGCTGTGCAGGGAGACGCGGGAGAGGGACGTGCGCAACGAGATCCTCCGCAGCACCGGCCGCCTGTGCGGACTGCTCAAGTCCCTGGCGCTGGCCACCAAGGACGCGGTGCTCGAGTACCCGAGCCCCACGGCCCTGGAGCTGCTGCAGGCCGAGGCCAAGAAGCTGGAGCATCACACGAGGCAGTTCCGAGAGACGTTGGAATGAGCCCTTCCTCCGAGGCTCACCCTGTGCGACTCGATGGGACTGGACGATGGGATGGGACGGGCCACACACGGCACCCAGTACCTCGCGGCTCCGCAGCCCAGGACGCTGACACCTAGGGGCTCGGGAAACACGGTCGGTCGGGCATTGCGAGGGCAGGACTCCGTGAAGCTGCCTGTGCAGTGTCCGTGTCGGAAGGTCACAATCCTCCAGTTCCCAGTCACCTTGCGGAGAGCGTCTGCACCCTGGCTACGCGTGTGCGCGGTTTACATCCTTCATTCAGCACTTAAGTACTGAGCACCACTTACGCACCAAGTTCTAGGAGCTGCCCAGGTGTCAGAGGCTGTCTGAGCTCCCAGTCCACTTGGGGGCAGAGATGACGAAGTGAGGAAGGAAGACATTTTCAGCACACAGAGAAAAAGGTGGGGAGGAGGAGGGGAATTTAGTTTCAAAAGATCAATATATTGCTTGCATTAGAAAATGTAGTGCACCCATCCCTGGTACAGAAAAAGAAAGCGGGGGAGAGAGAGGGGAGGGAGGGACGGAGAGAGAGAGAGAGAGAGAAGAGACAAAGAGAGACTATGTAGCTCAGTGGTACTGCATCTGCCTGGCAAGCACAAGGTCATGAGTTCGATCCCCAGTACTGGAAAAAAAAGAGAGAGAGAGAGAGAGAGAGAAAATGAGAGAACGTAATAATGTTTTTTCATTTTGCGTTGAATTAATCCCTTGAGATTGGTGCCTGTGTCTTGCACAAATATATCTACGTACATACACAGATATGAGCTCTGTTGTCTTACCCTAAAGACACATGCCGTATTTGCCTGCTCTGTTGGGTTCCCTGTTAACTTATTTCATGTATTACAGAGTCTCTGTTGATAAATCCTACTGCTCATTTGGAAAGGAACTTTAGCAGTTGCAAGTCAGTTACAGTCTACAATACTGTTCAAATATAATCATGAACGCCAACATCATTTGCAGCAATCTTTTCTTTGGAAAAGTCTCCGATCAACGTCACCCAAGCTCTGGTGTCGCAGGGAAAGCCTTTGGTGTCAGTTTTGCCCTTCAGGGGCTTCTCCTTAGGGTCTGCAGCGAGGTGCTGCTGAGGCCAAGTTCTCATGCACCGGGCCTGGTCCATGAAGCTGTCAGCTGTGTTATCTGTGGCGGCGCAGACAGGAAAGCACGCTGTGCTCAGGGTACCTATCACCGGGTACAGATGTGGAAGTGGCCTGGGCTCCCTTCCAGACAAACCACCTCCTCTTTCTGTCATAGAAGCTCAGTCCTGCCCCTGTTGCTGTGGTTATATCATCCCTCCGGGGTCATCTGCGTGCATCTCAGTCTCGATACAGCCTCGTACAGCATCTACAGGCTCGGCCCCTTGCAGTGGTACCCAGTTCAGTCCCCACCTGCTCCCCTGCCCTTGGGAGGCACTGTTAGGTTATTCACTGTGGAAGACTGGCTGTCCTTCCTGAGTCTCAGGGCTCGATAAAGAAGGAGCCCACCATTGTGAGCCTTAGTTCTCGGCAGCTGGACAGAGAGATGGGAGGGTTGCATTCTTTGAACAGCAGGATTTCGTCAGTTAGGATCCTGTCCCAAGCGACAGAAAACCATGCACGGTCTGTCTTAAGCAACAGAGGAAATGTATTGGCTCGAATATCTTAAAATAATCTAGGGCAGCCCCGCTGCGCATCCGACTGGTTTCCGGGGCTCCAGCAGTGGTATCGAGGAGCAGTGTCTCGGGCTCACTCTTTCTGAGTCAACTCCAATCATGGCAAGGCGGCTGCCTCAGATTATGTCCTTCTTGGTTTGTGGTCAGAGGAGAAAAGAAGAGACTTCACTCTGTGTGCAGTAGGTTACCAGGTGCCTGTCCTGGACAGGCAGACACAGACAAGGACACACACACAGAGGCATAGACTCGTCCGTGTCCTAAGAGAGGTAAGGTGACAGTCCTGTCACAAACTGAGAGGCCTAAGGTTTTTGAGGGGTTTTTTTCCTACTTCATCGCTCCCCTCCATATCAGAAATTGAACTCAGGACCTTGCATGGTGCCATTGAGCTAAATCCCGGGCTCCCCCCCCCTTTTTTTTTTCCTACTTCAACTAGCAGGTTGGCCTGGCCCATTTCACGGATGCTGAGAGGAGACATGAGATTCTGGGATCAGAGACTGTGTCAGTGGTCCCCAAGATGACTCCAGGCTCAAGGAGCCGCTAGGACTCAGGATGAAAATGGAGTTGGATTTATTTTGGTGAAAGAGACAAAGTAAAATCAGCAAAGGGAGCAGGCACCTGGAGAGAGATGTGGGGGGCAGCGCACAGTTCCCAGAGTCATCGCCCTGCAGAATCATGCAGAACACACTCAATGCCTCCAGCAGTGAGCTGCGACAGCACCGTGCGGGGAGGCCACCCAGGAAGCTCGTGAGGGCCTCAGTGCCAAGTGTTACTACGGGGTTGTTCACGCAAGGACATATCGTGTGTCCAGTCCCGGGGTGGTGGGGAGCAGGCAGTGAGCAGCAATCACAGTCCGAACAGTTTAGACACAGTGAGCCATTCTTATCGATTCTGGAGATGCTGGAAACCTTCCCACATTCCAAGTTCCCTTTGCCAACCAAGAGCTGTCCTTTTCAGCAGACCTTTCTGAGGATGCCAGCCAGACCCGCCGCCTGAGCTCCTGTCTGCACGGCAAACTCTCTGCAAGCATTCATTGCAGCCAGCCTATGGTTCTCATCTTCAAATCATTTGCCCACATTCCTCAAGTCGCAGGAGGGAAAGCATGGGGTATCAGGTAGATGCTGTCACACACTGGGATTCGGGGAGTGACGGGATGACAAGGCCTCACACTACTGGGAGCTGACGGGAACAGGAAATAGGTCTAGCTGCAGGGAGTGGGTCATGGGGGCCTGAGCTCGGGGGCTGTACCTGGTCCCTGGCCCTTCCTCTCAGACTCTTTCTCTCTTCCTCCGCTTCCTGGCTTGTGGGAAGTGAGCAGCTTCCTCTACCACACCCTTCTGCCATGATGCTCTGCCTCACCTCAGGTCCACAGCAAGGGAGCCAGCCAAATGAGCCAAAGTAAGCCTCCTGCCCTCCAAGGCGATTTTCTCAGGCGTTTGGTTACAGCAGTGAAAAGCAAACACACCAGGATCCCTGTTATAACAGGCCCAGAGCAGACCTGATAAGAAAGGGATCATTTTTACTATGCCGGTCAGCAAACAAACCTCTCTGCTCTTGAGGGAGGCACTAGCGCTCTCTTCCAAGGCTGTTGGCCACTAATAACCTGCCAAGGTGGTCCAGGACTAAGTGCCAGGTGCTGTGCTCAGAAGATAAAGACACCCATGGAGAACCAAGTCCCAGCAAGATCATCTGGCAAAAGTCATGAATATAATATTGCTGGAATAAGGAGGAAGGATTGCTTCAGGGAGCCAAGCAATGCATTTTTATTGCAGTGGGAAAACATTTTACACAAGCATGATAACAACAGCACATGTTTATTAAAGGACTACTACTAAAGCACTGTTCTAATGTCTTGTATGCCTCAACTCAGTCCTTTCTAAGTCACAGACTCTTTAATACATAATAAACATTTTTCAGATGAATTCAAACCAAAGACACAAAACCATTTTGTTCAAAATGATGAAAAATGCTGCTCTTGGCTAAATATGTTTCCTTTGCTTTTTTTTGAAAGACAGTGGTTATAGGAGGAGTTTCCACTGATTAATTTAATAGGCTAAAGCATTCTAAAAGAACTAATCACATATTTTCAACTTTTTATAACTTTTTGCTAAATATTTGTGCCCAGTGCCCAGAATTTTGTACCATTTCCTCCCAAGGAAGGAAGCTAGCGGTAAGGGTGGCGGTAGCAACCTGACCTCAATTAAGTTAAATTCATCAGGAGGATGGAAGTGGTGAGAGCCCCACTTAAGAGATCTTCCGGTGTGACAAGCCCGGGGAAGTCTTTTCTGGTTTGGTAGTGACACTGTGTTTTGCAAAACATCTTTTTTTTAATGCTTAATTTTCCTCAACTACAGACCTCAGCACTCCCAAAGTTCCATACGTTTCATTCATAATGAAGTGCGTGAATCCGTCTGCTAATACCAGTTCCCTTTTATTCACTCGCTGAAAAAATTTGCCTTGTGCACGTCCCGGGCCTTTGCTGATCACTAGAGGCAACAGAGCAGAGAGTGCAGCAAGGTGCTTTTGTTTCCGACAGAGGGAGATGAGCACCAGGCCAGGCCACATACCTGAGGCCTCCTCCACAAATGGTACACATAAGGGGGGTCCCCAAAACATTTAGACATCAAAATAAATGGTTGATGTGTGTGTGTGTGTGTGTGTGTGTGTGCGCGCGTGCGTGCGTGCGTGCGTGCGTGTGCTGGGGTCCAAACCCAGGGCCTTGTGCATAATAAGCGAGCACTCTGCCACTGAGCCACATCCCCTGGCCTGAAGCAATATTTTAAGGAACCAAAATCAACATAAAAATCCACAGTGAACAAGATATCAAAATGTACATGTATAATACAGCGCTGGGGACACGATGATGATAAAGAAAGTCGGGGGAGGCTGCTGGATGGTGCTCTCTCAGAGGGAGGAACTAGAGACAATCCCTAGGCAAGGAGACTTGAGGGAGCAGCTGGGCACAGATCTAGGGAAAGACATGATTCTGCCAGAGGGGCGGAGAGAGACAGAGAGAGAAAGAGGGAGAGAAACAGCAAGCTGCTGGCAGGGAGGCGGGAGAGGAGGAGGCTGTGTGGCTTGGGCTGAGTAAGGGAAAGAAAAGTGGCCAACATGAACTGAGAACGCCAGCTGGGGTCGACTTATGTAAGACTCTTAGAATACTTCCCTAAAAGTAGAAATGGAAATAAAAAGTAAGTTTTGTCTTGAATTATTGTAGTAATCACCTAATTTCCACTATATTTTACTTTAAAATAAACCCAGTCACTCATGCTTGCTAAGTATGCACTCTGCCTACCACTGAGCCACACTGCCAGCCCTTATCATCTTAACCTGCTCTGGGACACCCTACAAGGTGATAAATGATAAATAATGATGGTCACTTTTTTAAAACTCCTAATACGTAGCTTATGTTCACTTTTTCTTTTTGTACAAGGGATTGAGCTCGGGACCTTACACTTGCAAGGCAGGCAGGAGAACCACTGCGCTAAATCTCCAGCCCAATGCTCATTCTTGATTGCTCTGTACATCCTACGTGTCCAGAGAGAGTGTCAAACTGTGGCTAGGAAGAGGGTAGGAGTAGAACTATCAGGAAACCAAACCTTTGGTTGTTTATAAGCCTGAAACAGTTGGGGGCTATTGTTAACAGCTTAAAGTCCGCAGTAGCTAACAGCTTGTGAATGGGATGCAAGTATGTATAAACTGTACGCAACACTTTGTATGTGCTGAGAGTTTCCTGAGAATAGGTTTAAAGTTTTCTTCAAATTCTGAAACAAGTCTGAGGACTCCAAAAAGGTGAAGAAACACCAATTTGGGGTAGGGGGTGTGGCTAGCATGCCTGAGGATCTAAGTTTGATCCCTAGCACTGCCAAATGAAAAAGGAACACTGGTTTTACTGGAGAATAATTTTTCCCTTTTATGGCTTCATTCTTCTCTTCAAATCCACAGCTCGGGGGGACAAAGTTGTCCCCAAAGGTCTTTGTAAGGAAATCTTCTTCACTGGCTCCTTCAACAAAGGCAGTGGGAGAAGAGGAAGCAGACAAGAATGACACCTGCTTCCCCGACGGCTGGGAGAATCAAATGTCTCCCCTCGGGACACAAGTTCTACCTGGGTACAGTGTCATGGACACACCAAGTAGCCTGGAGACCAATATCCTAAAGGAGAAAACCAAGGAGGAAGAGGAAGCTCCAGATGCCTGAGCTGCTTGAGCACAGCAGATATTGCATTTTGAGCTTTCTGAGCAAGCGTTTCATGGAGGCTGGGGTCATTCTACGGCTACGACTTTATGCTGCTAGAAGCCGTGCCAGATTCTGGCCAAGTCCCTTGGGGTAAGGGTTTGGAGGGAGACCTCGTGCGCCAACAGCTCTGCAGCTCTCACAGTTTTAGGGTCTGCCCAGACTGGGCTTGGCACCCTCTCCAAATGAGCCTGCACCTTCTTTTGGTGTAGTGAGAAAATGTACCTGGAGTATATGCCAACCAGACTCTTCTGGGGATCGAGGTACAACAGGGAATCACATAAAGGGCCTAATCCTGCAGGGGTTACAGTGTGTGTGATTGCCACCGAGTCATACACCAAGGAGAGACCAGCTGATTTTATTTCTATCATCACTCACAATAACAGATATCCCAAGCCCATAGACCTTGAAGTTTTCACATCCGCATATTTTTCTGGGCAACTGTTGCCAAGTGGAGACTACTTTCAGCATAACTTCCAGTCATGAAGGGCTGCTGTACGGGCATTGAACGGCTTTCTCCTAATATTTATAATACTTAAAGGAGCCTGACAGAACCATGGGTTTTGCAAGGCATTTGTGTTCTCATTACAGACAATACAGCGTGTCACTTGGAAACAGCATGGAGAAAACAGTGGATTCTTTATAAGAACCAATGTACTGTATAACACGTTAATTATATCTGCTTCTTAACAAATAAAAAGTATTTTAACTTGGGCTTCAGAAGGCTGTGGATGAAACACACGTACCCACTGTAGCAAAATTTCAGACACACCACACACACCGAACGTGAGTGGCCATCTCAGAAAGCAGGGGGCCCTAGACAGAAACTCCTACTCCCCTAGAACCTGCTGTAACATTACAGGGTTTGTTGTGGGTGCTTAGGTCACAGTTGGCGCTCGACACAAACCAATAAATGTTTTCCGAAACGATAGGTTCACAGAGTTCCAGATCTGCAGTCACACAAGTCTAGGATAGGACGGAGCCAAAGAGAAGTTGATGCTCCTGAGTCATCCTCACCCTTGCTGCCCTCCCGGAGCGTGGGCGAGCGATTCTGAGCATACAGCAGAAACCCAAGGACCTACTGGAAAGAGGAAGAAGGAACGCGTTGGGGCCAGGAGCGGCGGGCGAGCTCCCCAAGCCCCAGCCCAGGAAGACAAGAAAGCTGCGCTCAGCACCTGGCGACGCTCTCCAGGGCAACCGACGCTTGGCAACGGCTTCGCCCCCGCCTCGCGCTTTAGCAGCGCCCCGCCCCGTTGCGTCGCCGGAAGTGTCGTCATCTCGACGCGTCGGAAGTAGCTGTCGCTTTCGCCATACACACGGGAAGTAGTAACCGCAAAGTTTGGGAGCTGGTACTGACGCTGGCTTTAAGATGGGCTGCGACGGGGGAACGATCCCCAAGAGGCATGAACTGGTGAAAGGGCCGAAGAAGGTTGAGAAGGTAAGTAATGTGGGCCCGTTGGGAACCGAAGTGGGAGGAATATGGACGCCCTCAGGGAGGGAGGGAGGGGAGGTAGGAAGGAGTCGACGGAGTTCTAGACCTAGCTGGCTGCGCTCTTTTCGCCCGTCCACTGGACTCAGAATTAACAATAATATTGACAACTGGCATTTTTTGAGTGCTTAATGTTTCCATTGACTGGACAGTACGCTTAATGTGGGATAGTTTTGTAATTCTCGAAACAGCCCTGTGACCACTTGCCGTTATCTCCCATCTTCAGACATGGAAATTGAGGCTCAAAGGAGAGAGTTGCAGAGATATTTAAATGGCAGAGTCAGGATTTGAACCCTATCTGCGACTGGTAACGGTGATAAAAGCAGCTACTATTTATTGAGCTTTATATACGTTAATTTCACTTCCTCGGAGGTCTTCCCAGTGCCTCCTAACCCCGTGAGAACAGATCTTTGTCTTATAACTATTTTGCCACCCTGCGCACCGTCTTCATGGTAAATCCATGTCGGTCTCCTCACCAGATGGTAAGCTCCTAATGGAGGAGACTGAACCCCCTTTCCCTCTAGAGCTAGCACAATTTCTGGCACAGTAAATATTTTGAGTAATGAGTAAGTGAATAATTTCCAGTTCTCACAAGTAATGGAGCAAATTATACATAGTATATTTCGTGCTAATGGCAGAGAAATTTGAGTCCAAAGAAGTAAACTTACATGGCCAAAGTCACATAGCTGGTAGGTAGGTAGTGAAGATTCGCATCTTTGGGATTACTTGGGATTTCAAAGTTAGCAAGAGTAATGACTTTTAAAAATAATATAATGCATGCAAAGCACCTAATACAATGCCTGGTTTGCGTGGATACTCTATATATTCTGATTCAGCGGTATGAAAATCTTTTTTAAATGTAAATACCGTGTGTCACTATTGTATTTGAAACACTCTTGACTAAAATCATTAAATCACTAAAACACATTCAAACTAAAATCCCATCAAGCCCTGTGGGGACAGATCCCTGCACCTCATCTTTTATCTCGGTCCAGCTCTTTCATTCTGTTCGGGCTACACAGGCCTTGTTCAGCAGCAGCCCAGAGTATTTCATCATCCTGAAGTGTTCTCCATTGAGATAGTGGTGATACTTTCTTCATTCAGTTCTTTACTCAGCAGTCACCTGCTAAAATACTCTTTAACCTCCAGTTGCTGCCTTCTTCCTCTGCTCTTTTACTTTTCTTTCTTCTCTCTCTTGCTCCTCCTCTCCCTCCGACCCTCTACCTCCTCTTTCCCTCTGTCCTCCTCTCTCTCCCTCCCTCTGCCCCTTTCTCCCTGCCTCTCTCCCTCCTTCCCCCTCACTGTCTCTCTGTCCCCACCTCACGCCCAGGTCCTTTGTATGACTTAGCTCTGTAGCCTGAATAATGTGTCTGCCACATAATCGACACCCAATAAATCTGTGTTGAATTCAAGAATGAATGAACATCCAAGAGGATGACATGTGCCCTCTGCTTACACCTACACATGTGCAGGCTAACATTGGGATATTTAGCACTCATGGAAGCTTCTGCCAAAAGAAAAAAATATTCAGCTCACTTTTGTTATCCTGTGTCCAGGGCTGAAAGGCTTGGTAAGAAACCGATGTCAGAGGGGGAGTGTGTGAAAAAAAGAAATGCAGATCTGAAACAACTGCAGTGCTCAGGCAGGATGGTTTCTCTTGGTGTACGCTGCTTTAGACCCTGGGGATATGGCAGCAGACAAAGCAGTCTGCCTCTCGTGGAGCTTACATTTCAAATCCATATTGTTAGTAAGAAACATTCACGTATTACACATAAGTCTATATCTGTGTCTCTGTGTCTTGTTCCTGACCCAGAGTTCCTAAATCCCTTGGGATTTCCTGGGTGAGAGAACTGTCTAAAGAGGTAACTTGACGGGCTCCCAGCTTGGGCTCGTCACCAGAAAGACCCGGCCATGAAAGAAGCTTGTGATTTTCAGCACCACCCCCCATATTCCAGGAATGAAGAGAAACTGGAGATTGAGTTAACAGCTGATCGTGCCTGCCTGCTGAAGCCTTCGTAAACACCCTGGGCCATTTGGCCATGGGGTTTGGAGAGCTTCCAGGTTGCTCCACACGAGTATGGCTCCTGTGCATGAGACCCTTTCAGTTCTCACCCCATATACCTCTACCTGGCTGATCACAGGAATCATTTAAAGCATTTTAGCAGTAAGTCAGCAGTAGTAAGTAAATTGTCTGTGCTCTATGAGCCCCTCTATCATATTACCAAACATGAGGAGGATGGGCTTGTGATCTCTGAGGCAGGAGGGTTGCCAGGAGTTCAAGGCCTGCTGGACCTACATAGTGAATTTAAGGCTAGCTTGATTCACATAGCAAGACCCTGTCTCAGGAAATGAAAAAGAAGAAGGGCGGGAGGGAGAGGAATATGAATACCGAGTCTAGAGCCGGCCTGCCTGGATTCTTATCCTGGCTCTTGTTATTTGCTACATTTATTTGGGACCTGTCACCGAACCTCTTGCTCCAATTTCCTCATCTCCAATGGTAGGAATGCTAACTCAGAAGGTGTTTTTGATTGAAAGCACTAGGCATGAGTCACAGAAAGTGCTTAGTGCAGTTCCTGGCACACAGCAGTACTAAGTAGCTGTCACTGCAAAAAATTAAAAATTCCAGGCTTTTGCTTTTTCTTACTTATCCTTCCCCTGCCTTCTCTCAAATGTGCCACACTGAGAACATTCGGGTTGGGTGCTGTACAAGCGAGAGGGAGTGGGACATGAAGTACTACGCAGTGGGAGTGCCGTCTGAGCCGTGCAGAGCCTCGTGTCTGGGTTCCATAGCCGGGGCACTTCAGCACTTCTGTATAGAGCTGTACAGAATACTTGAGGTTGAATAATTTATAAAGAAATTTGTTTCTTACATTTTTGGGGTCTGGAGAGTCCATTGTCAAGGACCAAATCTGATGAGGGTTTGGGGATTGAAGTCAAGGTCTTCACTCTGGGCTGCATCCCTAGCCGTTTCTTATTTTTAAATTTTTAAAGTTTGGTGTGTTTTTTTTGTTTGTTTGTTTTGTTGTTTTGTTATTTTGTTTTTTCCCTGGGGCCATCACATTGGACTACACCCCCAGCCATTTCTTTATTTTTTTTAGATGGAGTCTCACTGCATTACCCAGGTTGGGCTCAATTTGTAACCCTTCTGCCCCAGCCTCCCAAAGTGTTGGACTCGCAGGCGTGTG